GTCTAATTTGTAGCAGATTTACTTTTCCCCTCTTCAGAATATTCAGCCAAAGAGTTATTTTTTTTTGGTGTGTAAAATATCCCAGTTTTTTCTTTCTTCATCTTGTTAACAAGTAGATTGAAGTACTTAGACTTACTCAAATCCACAACAATATTGAATCATTATATTATCCTCTTTTGATAATTTTATAAGTGTTATCTAAAGTAGTAAAGTAAGACAGTTAAATATATTACTGTCATTTCATGAAGTTTTTTATTGTAATTAAAATTAATATGCATGTATCCATTATTTACTTTTATTTCAGTTCAAACTAATCAAATTTATTTACAATTTAATTTTTTTATCAAAATAAGTTATATGTAAACTACACTTAATCAATTGTTATACTTTAATGATTACATAATAATGTATGATAAATAATGAAATTTTTTGTAAAAAAACCTTTTCTTTATGTATTTATTTGTGCGTATGTACAGCAATATCTCGCATAATCCAGATATGTTCCGTTAATTTTCAACTGTTAAAAAACGAACTAATCGAGGAACTTTTTTGCTCAATTAAAATGTAGTTTGTCTTCAAACCGTACTATAGTGAATCCAAACTATGCGAGTTGTTGTATAATTTTATTGGAAATATGAAAGTTTGTGCACAAATATTACTTTTATTCTTATATTTGTTTACTTTAAATTATTAAAGTATTAAATTTAATTTTTATTTGTTCAAACTTTCTAACAATAAATTTTCTATTATTATTCTATTTATTTTTTGACTAAAACTTAAAAAAAGGTCATTTTTACTTCCCCTTTTAAAAAATGTAACTAATACACATAATTTCCCACAATTTCCATTTGTGTCTTATCAAAATAAGTGTTATGAAAATTACATAAATTACTGGAATTGGAATTAGGAGGGATTCAATTATTGGATAAGTTTTAATGTATTTTCTTATCAATACTAAATTATGAAACGTAATTTTTTTTGATAACAATAATCGATTTAGAATAATTGAGTTTTGAAAATTTATAATTGTTATAGTTAAAATATAATTTTACTGCAATTAATAATTTGCAAATATATATAAAAAAAATGTATATGTAATGTATATAAATTGAGATATAAATTTCAATAAAAAGAAATATAATTTTCAATAAAATTATTGGAAATTTTATTATAAAACATGAAAGATTGCTAAAATTTTTAAAAGTTAGAAGAAAATTATGATGTAATATTTTTAAATTAATTTGATAAATTGCATTTTATTGGGCTGAAAGACATATGGTCAATAGGTTATAATGTATTGAAATGTTTAATTTTGTGTTTTCTTTGCAATATTGCTTTAAATTTCTAAATTCTTAAAAAAAATATAAAATTTTAACTAATTTCATTTAGCTTTGCAAATAAATAATAAAAGTTTTTTCAATGTTAGTAAATAAACCCAACATTGTTATTGTCGTCGATTCTAAAGAAATAAGTTCATTCTCAAATAAATTCTTCGTGCATTTCGGTCGCAGTTTTCTGCACATCTTCAATTGATTCGCAATAAATCAAGGAAACGCATGCACCGAATAAAGGAACGAAAATGTATCTGTTTTTATTTCTGCGCATTGCATTAGTTCATCGAGCTCGAACCGAACAATTTGTGGTTTAGTGAAAGGGAAATTCGTCGCATGCATAAAGATATAACAGAGAGAGAAGCTGAAAACGATGCATGCATATGCGCTCCAATCTCCGTATATCTTCCATTCGTGCAAGAACAATATGCCTCGTATAACATCGACGGAATAAGCACAAAGGGAGTAAAATTTTTCTCCCTCGATGGATGCCAAACCGTTTTCCGTCGACAATGCACCTCCTCCGCCATATTTCAGCTCTTGTTTTTCTCCCCTTCAATTGTGTTTATTTTCACAAACATTTTCTAAATGTTTACCTTTCCGTTTTATTTTCTGCGTTCTTTAATTTTTTTGTTTTGTTTTGTTTACAGGTCCCGTTGAAGGCCTGAAGGATGTCGTGCTGGAAATCGAGCCGAGGGTGGTGCAACGGGGCGAATCTTCAACGCTGGAATGCGTGTACAATCTTGAAGGGGCGCAGCTGTACACGGTCAAGTGGTACAGAGGACATCACGAGTTCTACAGATACACCCCAAGCGAACTGCCCCACACCAAAGTCTTTCCATTCCCCGGAGTACATGTGGACGTAAGCTAAACCTTCTCTAATTGGTCTCTGAATCTTCTTAACCGTACAGGATGTTAAAGTCTTTTCAATTGCTAAAGCAAACCAGACCAGTTCCTAATTAGAGATCCTCCAAGACAACTTAATGCCACAGGAGATCTGTTAAATACAAGATTATTCTCAAAGAAGATACAGAATTTGTATTAGATTACATCCAACTATCAAACAATAAGCGACAGAAAGAATTAAATAAAACATATATTTTTTAAACCTAAATTTAAGTAAATTTGTCTTAGCTCTAAAAATCAATTCAAGTATAATACATTTGGAAACTTTCAAACTCACATACTGAGATAAGTGCAAAAAATTGTAAAAGTCTAAGAGGATTCTCCGACAGTAAAAATCTAAGAAAGCTGTCCAATCCTGTGGTAATATCACCAAGTTATTTTATTACATTATTAAGGTTTTAAACTTTCTAAGAACTGTTTGTATATATATCCTTAATGCGTTCATTTTATTTTTATTAATATGAGAGCTAAGGAGACGCAGTGGAGGAGGGCACAGGCCATTTGGCTTTTCAATACAACTCGAAATGTGCCAGAGATAAATTTCAAACTTTTCGCCACTTTTCCTTAGCTTCACCATCTCCTCCAAATACGTACGTATATATATTAATTTGGTCTATTTTACCGAATCGTCTTTCTCCGAATTGTCCAACTTCCTTCGTGGAGTCCTTTAAGCCATTCGGAGAGCTCGGTCCATTCTTGTAACGTTAAGAGAAAACTTCGTCAATCACTTTAGGATATAATCATACGTAAAAAAAACAGCCAGTTGCAAAGAGCGTATGGCAGATTCACTTTATTCGTAATAACGTTGGCTAAAGTTTTAGTTAAAGTTTTACCTTCGGACATTGCAAAAGCTAAAGCATAACATGTTCGTTTTTGTAACTTTGATAGAGAGAAATAGTTTCAGCATGTAAAAAGTTTATACTTTTCAGGAATATTTCTAGTTCAAATAGTGAGGATTCACTATAGTTTGAAAATGTCAAAAGAAACTAAATTTTAATTCAAGAAAATAAAGTCTGAAAAATCAATACACAAAATATTTTTTAATACATAAAATAATTGTTTCTTTTCTTACAGTCAAGTTTATTTTTGTGCTTTATATTTGTATGCGGTTTTAAAGTCCTCGATTAGTCCGGTTTTTCGGAATTTATTACCAGTACTATGCGAGGTATTGCGGAATTTATGACATTTTAGAAAGAACTAAAAGAGTGACAATAATTGAAATTTGCAAACTCTAACTATAAGGATATTCTTAAAATTACATATTATAAGTGCGATTTCGATTAGTGCGGATTTATTATAGTACGGTTTGAAATATCAAAATAAACTAAATTGTAATTAAAGAAAACGAAAATAAATTCTGAAATATTAGTACACAATTTTTTTTTTTTCATTCAATTCTCATTTTTTTGCTGTATATTTTTATACAGTTTTATAGTCCTTGATTAGACTGGTTTAGTGGAACTATTAATTATGTGAGGTATTCTTGTATTTATGAAACGAAAATAAATTCTGAAAAATTAGTATACAAAATTATTTTTTATACATTATTTAATTTTCTTTTGCTCTCAGTCAAGTCTCTTTTTGTATTGAATATTTTTATACGGTTTTAAAGTCCTCGATTAGTCCGGTTTTTCGGAATTTATTACCAGTACTATGCGAGGTATTGCAGTATTTATGACGGTTTGAAATATCAAAAGAAAGTAAATTGTAATTAACGAAAACGAAAATAAATTCTGAAACATTAGTATACAAAATATTTTTTTTAAAAACTTTTTTTCAATCAAGTCTCTTTTTTACTGTATATTTTTATACAGTTTTATAGTCCTTGATTAGTGTGGTTTAGTGGAACCAATTACCACAGCAGTATGTGAGGTATTGTTGTATTTATGAAACGAAAATAAATTCTGAAAAATCAGTATACAAAATTATTTTTTTATACATTATTTTCTTTTCTTTTGCTCTCAGTCAAGTCTCTTTTTGTATTGAATATTTTTATACGTTTTTAATGTCCTCGTATATAAAGTTTGGTTACATTAACTATAATAATATTTATGAAAATACATATATAACATTTCAGTAGATTCGTCAGTAATGATGCGTATAGTAATAAAAAAAACGGAGAAACCATAGACAGAATAACGATATTTTTCTTTTTCGACAATAGCATGAATAATAGAAAAAACTCAAACCATTAAGGTATTTTTCGTTAGTTTATGACATGCAATAATCTGTTTTCCATAAGTTGCGGATGCGTCGTGACCCTGGAGACTCGAGGAATTCGTCTAAAAATAGAAGAAATGATAGTTAAAATAGATTTATTTCGTGGCAAATGGCCGTGATGTATACCGATGGTTTTATGCGCGGAACTCGATATAAATAAGGTCAACATTCAACGGGGGATGAAAAAAATAAATAAATAAAAAAGGGGTTGAAAAAAAAAGTTTGGTTCGAATCGAATATTAACAACAACATCGGTATAATATGGAGATATTTTATTTTCGTAGTCCGCTCCAAAGAACTAACTCATTCCGTTGCTGCCGTTGGTGGTTGTAGTTCAAAGTTCCATCGCAACATAATTAATAATGTTAAGTTCGGTTCGTGGCCTCCCGAATGTTTTGTTGGCGTCGGCTCTGGCCTTGTGATTTCAAAGACTAATTACATGGCCGCATGTATTAATGGTACGTGAACTGGAATAGTTAATTGGTGTCTATTTATTCTGTCCTCCTAGCCTATCTCTCTTTGTCTCTCTCTCTCTCTCTCTATAGCATTTACTAACCTAGAGCAACTCTCTGATTCTCGTGTTTCTGGTGGCCCGAAAGGCTTTTCTCCTCTCTTCCACCGACGAAACAGAGAGCGCGAAAGGCCTGATCGCCAACGAAGCGCATGTAAACTTTGATAGTTACGTTGATGTAAAACGGGGAATTGATTAAAGTTAATTAAGTTACTCAGAGGAAAGGGGCGCATTGTCGTAGTTGAAATAATTTATGCCGCCGAGATGAGAGCTTTGTGCGTATCAAAGAACATTTTCAGGGTAGTTCCGATAGTTCATCCTTCGATCCACCCCCATCCCTCCATGTATCTAGGTCGAAAGTTAAACAAGCGAGGCAAGTCACAAAGAATGGTTTGAGGGTTTCGGTCTGAGCATGGATTTAGCCCCAAGGACCAAATCTCGTGCTCTCGAAGTACTATCGAATCGATGATTTGCATGTTACCTCCCTTCATCTAAAGCCCGAACTTCAGTCAGGCCATCACCGCCCATCCGAAAATTAGCAATTTATAAAGGGAATCCTTCGACCAAAAACCAAACCCCCACAGCACATCACACATATATACGCAAACACGATTCCCGTTTTAATCCACCCTCCTAAATACATTAGTCAAAGACAAATAGTGAAGAACAAAAATTGAACTTTTTAACATCACTTCTAGAAAACCTCAGTTTCATCAAAGTTCAGTATAACTTTAGTTCTCGATCACCTCAGTTTCTAATACAAATCCAAGACAAAAAAGACCTCGATTTCCAAACAAAATTACATGTAACTTATTGTAAACTGAAAATATAATTAGAGAATAGAGAATCTAATTAGAAGGTTAAATAAAAAAAATAGGATTATTTTCCAAGTTTTATACAATTTTATATAAATATAATACCTTTTTTAATAAACTTACAATAGAAATATTTATAATCTTACAGCATTTTGTAAGTAAATCTATATTAAAAAAGAAAATATGGATTTTTTTAGATTAGTTTGAATATTATAAAATTTTTGCACAAACATAATTCTCATCTTAATCTCTCTCCTAAATACATGAGGCGAAGAATCAGAGAGATGAAAAGAAAAAAAAAGATTGAACTTTTGACTCTGCAATATAGAAAAAGTTCGCGTGTATTTTTTTTTTCTTCATCATCGTCGTCCGCAACCCAAGTTCTCTTCCTTAAAATTCCTTTTTATATCCCGTGTTTTTTTTTCTTCTCTTCCATTCAACGGGATTTCCGCGTCGCTCATGCGAGACTAAGATATGTTGCGCGAGGGAAATGGGATTCGCGCTACAAATAACGCGCCAACATATTCATTCATACGGACGGTTTATTCTTTAAACTAGCGTTTTCACCATGAAATTCTTATTAAATTTCTTCCTATTTTTACTCTTCATCCACTTCCCCCTCAACACCGATAAACGAGAGAGTTTATTTCATTCTTATTGCATGAGTTCTTGAAACTCATCTTTTGATCTTTTTCCACTTTTTTGGAAATGTTCAAAGAATTTATTAAAACTGAAAAATATGTCCACCCAATTTATATTTAATTTAAAAATTTACAGAATTAAATGAAACAAAAACATATTTATAAATGTATACAATATTAAACACGAAAAGTTTCAAATTTACTAGTTAAAAATAATATTGTAGTAAAAGAGAAACATGAAATGAAATGCAATTAGATTGAATCAATAAATTCCTATTAAAGCTGTTTATGTTTGGTTTGGTTGTTTCGAGAGGCAGTTTATAATTGAATATAAGGAATGAGGTAAATTGTGTTTTTGCTTCAAGCGAAATGGTGCGTGGTGAATAGAATTGGAAATAGTTTTAGGGGGATGAATTATCGTCCAGAATTGTGTGATGGGGCATAATGGGTTCCGAGCATTGTTCCAAATAGGAAACGTGTGAATGTGTGTCGATGGTGAAATGTGAATCCATCGACTAAATTAATCGAAACTATCGTTGCATCTGCTCTATTCTGGCAGATTGCGCACGTAACATGTTACGTATCATTGTAAAGTTTGCTTATTGTTGCAGGTAGCCGTGTCGAACAACAGGCAGGTTGTGCTGAGGAAGGTCGGCTTCAATCTTTCAGGAAACTTCAGCTGCGAAGTGACCACGGAGGAACCGTTCTCCACAGCAGTCGTCTCCAAAGAGATGCTCGTCGTTGGTAATGTTATAATATCTTCTAACTCGCACCCGGCGCATCCACAACCGAAAACAAACAAAAAACGGGTGGTTGCTCCGCGCGTTCGTTAAGGGTAGTCGCCCGTAAAAGCGCATTTTAATTGCTAATTTGCACGGACGCGGTTTTACAGTGTTGCCGGAGACGCCGCCGACGCTCAACGCCGACAAAAGTTTCTACCTCTACGGGGACATATTAAAGGCCAACTGCACGTCGCCACCCTCCAGGCCAGCTGCCACATTAACTTTCTTTATGAATAACATCGCGGTAACTAAAACTACGCCCAAAACTTACGCAACATAAGATGAAGAAAACGCAGAGGATAAAAGATGAGAGCCGCTCTTAGAAGTTTCTAATCGTTTTCCAGCTCTAATTGAGTACACATTTAATAACAACTTTTACATATTTTCATTTATCATTTCTTATATAAACTTGTATAACTTTAAAGACAACATAACTATCTTCATTTTTCAATAAATTTAAAGTAATGTCAACTGTTAACTACAATTAGTCACAGCTCATCAAAAATATTAGAAATTCTACTGAATATTTCATAACCATCTTCAATTTATAATAAATTTAAATAATTGTCAAATGTCAACTACAATTAGCAAAAGTTTATCAAATAAATATTAGGAATTCTACTAAATATTTCATAACCAACTTAAATTTTCAATGAATTTAAAGTAATGTCATCTTTCAACTACTATTAGTCACAGCTCATCACAAATATTAGGAATTCTACTGAATTTTTCATAATTATAAATTTAAAGTAATGTCAAATGTCAAGTACAATTAATCGCAGCATCTTAAATAAATCTTAGAAATTCTAATAAATATTTCATAATTAACTTCAATTTTCAATAAATTGTAAATAATGTCAACTATCAACTACAATAAATTATTTGTTATCTGACTTCTTATATAAATTCTGAAAGACCTAAATTAAAGGATGATTCAGGTTTGTAAGATATAAACTTTCAGAGAAGTTTCTCTATGTTGATATTAAAATAAAGTAAAGTCTGAAATTACCAAGAAGGTGAATTTTATATTTCACCATCAACAACATCAGTTAGAAAAAAACTAATAAAAGATTCTTTTGTTACTATTTTATTTTCACTATAACTTAAATTAAAATTTCGATTGTATCACATATTTCATTCATCAAATTTTGACTCAATCAATTTCCGTATAAAATTATATACAAAATCAAAAGTAAATTATTTTTTTATTAAACTAAAATTACACAAAGAAATATTATTAATATGAAAGTATATAGAAAGCAATGAAGTGAACAATATAATAAATCATCTAATATATCTCGAGTTAATGTTTCCATTAGTACGGGCATTGTCGGTTATAAATTGGGTTTCATCAAAAGAAGTTTTGATTGCCAAAATATATGAGTTTCAGAAGTACATGGTTTGCGCGCCGCTTCGCTCCGTGCACGACATCCATCCACTTGTACAGTTTTTGTTTTGCTGGAAAACAATTGACAACTTCGCGAAGACAAAAGGGTATCCATCTTTATCTTTCCCCGTTCTCTCTCTCTCTCTCGAATCTTCTGCGCTAACTTCGCTTTACACTCTTGTTGTACTTCTCTCGTTTAGGTCTGTGAGAAGTGCGAGACACGGAAACACGTGTCCCAGGATTTGTTCTGGAGCGATCTGTCACTGGAACTGCCCCTATTCCCGTCTCACTTCAGTGGAGGACGTCTCATCCTGCGGTGCGTGGCGCAAGTGGCAGACATGTATCAGCAGGACACGGAACTCCGGCTGGACAACGCCAAGGATCCCGTCCCAGAGAGAGGTAAAACCATCAACCACCGCTCATTACAACTTGTCCTCATCTCATCCCTTACTTCCTTCCTCCTTCCATCACTTTACTGGACTCTCTCCACCCTCACCAGCAAAAGAACATCTCCCCAGACCGCGCTTATATTAATTTACCCACGCCACAAGCTATTTACCCAACACTCATCCTATTTAGTTTAGCTACATTAATTAACACTAAAAACTACCAAACTTCGCCACAAATAATACAAATTACAACAAAGATCATTACCAAATGCACATTTCACAGTAATTACTAAAAAAAAAGTACCAATTATTAATGATTTAAAGAATACTGAAACATATTAAGAACACAAATTATATATTATATAACATTAATTATATCAATACAATGACTTTCCTTTCTTTGTTATAATTGATAATATTTGAAACTTTTCCGACCGGAGCAAACATTAATTCAAACGTTTAATCTGCTTCGTCGCGTAAGAAAATGCAAATGAATTTCTTCAGCTATTTAGAATTGTTGGAATAGTTTCGGACGGAATAAATTTGCATGCTCCTTTTCTCTTTAGCTAAAAAATAAAGAAAACTAATTCCATTATTCATCATAGAAATTGTATTATGCGCGGTATTAATTCGTAAAGCCGGAGCTTAGATCTGCATTGGAAATTCGATACGAAGCTTTGCGTTTCTGCAATTTGCACCAATGCAATATGCGTGACATTTACGTAAGATTTGCAGAAACGATGAAAATGTACACTATTGAAAGGAGATTAGTATGGAAATATGTTTGTGTAATATGTAGGCTTTGGTATTAATGGTTTTAGTTTTTATAATTAATAGAAATGACCTATTTTGTTGTTTTTTTTAGGATGAAAAACATTGAGTAAAAATTAACATTCTTAAGATATTTTTTTTAAATTATTTTTAAATTATTGGAATTAAATTAAAAAATATTAACCAAAAATTAATCGAAACTTAAGAAAATTACAATGAAAATTTATCGAATTTATAAACATATTTTTAAACCAATATTTAATGAAAATATAACCAATGTATAACCAAGATATAACATAAACCACATATATCCAACATATTACCAACATATTCCAACATATTACCAACATATTACTAACATATTACCGACATATTCCCAACATAAACCAACATTTAACCAATATTTAATGAAAATGTAACCAATGTACAACCAAGATATAACATAAACAGCATATATCCAGCATATTACCAACATATTACTAACATATTACCAACATATTCCCAACATAAACCAACATTTAACCAATATTTAATAAAAATGTAACCAATGTACAACCAAGATATAACCTAAACAACATATATCCATCATATTACCAACATATTACCAACATATTACCAACATATTACCAACATATTACTAACATATTTCCAACATAACCAATATAGAACCATCAATTAACCTAGATATAACATAAACAGCATATAACCAAAGTATTACCAATATATTACAAACATATTACCAACATATCATCAACTTAAACCGAAACTTAAGCAAAATTTAAGTTTAAATTAAGACAAATTTTACCAAAATTTCCAATGTATAACCAATGTATAACCAACATACCAACATATTACCAACATAAACCAACATTTAAACAAAACTTAAGCAAAATTTAAGTTAAAATTAAGACAAATTTTACTAAAATTTTCAATGAACCAACCAATGAACCAACGAATATAGAACCAACATATTACCAACATATAACCAACATACCAAAATATAACCAACATATTACCAATATATTACAAACATATTACCAACATATCAGCAACTTAAACCGACATTTAATCAAAACTTAAGCAAAATTTAAGTTTAAATTAAGACAAATTTTACCAAAATTTCTAATGTATAACCAATTTTTAACCAAGATATAACATAAACAACATATAACCAACATACGAACATATTACCAACATAAACCAACATTTAACCAAAACTTAAGCAAAATTTAAGTATAAATTAAGACAAATTTTATCAAAAGTTTCAATGTATAACCAATATAGAACCAACATTTAACCAAGATATAACATGAACAACATATAGCCAACATATTCTCAACATAAATCTACATTTAACCAAAACTTAAGCAAAATTTATGTTAAAATTAAGAAAAAATTCACCAAAATTTCCAAATGTTTAAAATTATAATTTCAAATAATTTCCTTTCTTACAGTGACTTCTCCTAATTCCGCGACAGCGTCTACTACAATCAGTTTAGCGAGACTTAGTTTATTTTTGTACATAATTTTGAACTTGAGGTAAGTGCGCTGTTTCACCGTTTCCACTTTGCTACGATCTTCAGGAATCCAATCCAAATCCCAGAAAAAGAGAAGACGTGGCAAAGCGAAAAAAAAAACGATTAAACAAATGAAATGCAGCAAACAGCATTAGTAAAACAAGACGAGCAAGACTGTGTCATTCAACAATTCGTTCAAAAGCAAGCCAAAAAAGAAGTAAAAGGTGATTTTTTTTTGTAATATAAAAAACAAAAACTGTGTGTTCATTTGTTTTCATTGATTTTGTAAATGTCAAAATGGAAATGAAGAAAAAATAATTTTAAGACAAAAAAAAATAAAATCAAAGATGTAAACTATATAAATATATTTGTGATGACCGCTGAAACCTAGTCAAAAAAGAATTAAATAATTATTGATAATTGAAATGGGAGGAAGAGTGTGTAAGGGAAGTAAATGAATTTGGTTAGGTTTAATTGAATTGTTTAAACGTTAAGTGGGTGGGTTTTTTTTATATATTGTGAAAATGTTGTTTTCTTTTTTAAATTTTCATTTAAACTGTTATTTTTTTCTTTTATTTTGGAGGATGATTTTTGAATATATTATATACACGATATATTACAAACAAAATATATTTAAAGTTTGAAAAATAAATATTTACTTTAGAAACAAAAGTGCGAAATACATAAATCAATGAGTATTTTTTATTACTTCCTTACCTTCACTAACTTTTTTGTAGATTTACAGATTAATAAGTATTGAGGTAAGTACAATCATTTTTAGTTATTTTTTTTTAAATTTATTCAGAAACAATTTGTTTCTTAAAATATCAATTTTAAGATTTGGCTTCTTCAATAAAAATTTCCATTATTTTAATTGTTTAGAAAATAACTAATTGCACTAAAAAGTGGACATTTAATTGAATTATGTTTTTATATTATCAAATGTCTATTATTATTGTTAATTATAATTAATTAAAAAACTTGAAACAATTTAACTAATGTGATTTTTTAAAATTATTGTTGTTAGAATTAATATGAAAAAACCAGACAAAGTTGACATTAATATAAAAATTTGTACAATTGTATCCAATTTAATATGAGAAGAAAAAAAGTGGTGGAAGAAAAAAAATTATAAACAAAAATTTAATTGAAAAAAAGAGCCGCAAAAGTGTATGTTTGTCCAACGAAACATTAATTTATTCCTCCCACGTCCGCATTTTCTGCGTTCTTTTATCCTCGGCGACTCACAAATCAACGAGGATAATAAATACCGCAGCGCTGCAAAACAACAACGCAAGGAACCAACCAACATTTTCAGTTCCATCCTATTTTCGTTTTTTTTTTGCTTTTTATCCTTGCTTTAGCGATGCTTCCTGCTACACACATGGGAGCGAATAAAACTGCTATAAATAATACGCGAAAGGTGAAAAAGCCGCACATTAGGTTACGCTTTTTTTATTTAAATTATTATTATTATCCTTCCTATTTATTTATATTTTGCTTAATCCAACAGAAACGATTTATTAGTTTTCGGACTGAAAATTTTAATCAAGAATTAGTGCTCTCGCATGGCAAAATCGCATCGCATGATGTAGCTTTAAAGACTACGGCAAGACAAAGTTATTATTTGAGTTTCGCAACGAGATTTCGGATTTATTATTATTATGCGGATGAAGGGGATGGAATTCCGGACTGAAGCCGAGTATAATTCTCTGATTTTAATTACGAGATGAACTTGCGAGAGCGGGTTAGAATCGGAGAGGACAGGAAATCCCAAAGGAGATGAGAAGATTCTGTGTCAATTTTATTTTTGCTTAATTTTTTTTATGAACATGTATGAAATGATTAAGGATTAGAAGAATGTACTTAATTAAAACGTTTATATTAAGAGTTTTTGTTAATTTACCTATTTTATTCTAACTTTTCTACAATTTTTACTTTTCTTTTATACAAAGTACACATTAAAAAATATCCTAATAGGGTTATGAAAACTCATCTCTTCTTTGTCATGATGAGTCAGATACACCTGCGAATCATAAAAGTTCACTTGCAAACATGTGAACATGGAAGTTTTCTTATGCGTATTAAAAATTGTGCGTTCTTTTAAATGATTTAAATGCTTTAATAATATTTTCATTATTATTCTACCTATTGATGTATTTAAAAAATCTTTTAGTAAAATATTTATATATTACTAAATATTATGCAAATTATTCAAGAATCATTGAAGTGAATTTATTAAAATGAGATTATTTGTATTTTGTATTTAATAACCCTTCACATCGACCGAAAATATTATTAATTGATATTAATCTTAGTAGTACATACATACATAGTACATACATTTTCTAGATAAATAAAGTTTTTATTATCTTAATTATTTACGTATTTAATGAATATTATAGTAAATATTTACATATTACTAAATATTATCCAAATTTAATCACGTATTAAAATATCATTGAAGTGGATTCATTAGAATGTGATTATTTGTATTTAATAACCCGGCGCATCCACCAATAATATCATCAATTTGCATTTAATATATTACTAATCACATACATTTTCTAGTTAAATTTGCATTTATTACGAATACTTTAAAATACTTCAATTAATCAATTTTAATAGTTGTTAATATTACCTTATTTATTATTGAATCATTGAAACTACAATGATGGTTTTGTAAATTACTAAATATTACATGTAAGTAAAACATTCTTATTAATTTAAGTTCATTAAATTTAATTTTGCTTTACCATTGTTTGTGTTAATATTTTTAATTTAAGTAGATTAGGACGAAATGTTTGCTTTTAATACACTTTTCTATACTTTTATAAATTAAATTTTGTTTATTTAATAACATATTACTTATATTTCTTAAATAACATATGTTGTTTAAACGCATTTTTAATATATGTACATAATTGGAAAGAGAATATTTGAATTTCGCATTAAATAACCATTTTTTTTAAAGTTATGAAAAAAATATGGTTAGCTAATTAAAATAAAATATAAACACATTAATTACATTAAAAATACTAAAGAAAATGTACCATTTTATATATAATTTAAATTACTTTCAAATATTTGTATTAAAAATCATAATTATTCACACAAAATATGCTATTTTTGATATCTTAGACTGTATTTTTTAATATTAGATAAATTTGAATGCAAAGAAAATTGATAAAACATTGATGTATTTGATAGGAAAGTAATAAAAACTTAGAGTTAATTAATAACTTGGTTACGAAAACACACCTGCTCACAACGTCGTGATGAGTCAGAAGCAGCTGCGATTCTCAAACGTTTAAACAATCCTTATTTGGTCAGGAGAATTAGGCGGAAACGCCCGAAATACAACACGACGAAGCGAATCAGTTGCACCTGTGAATCTCAAACGTTAAACGAACACGTGCATCGATGAGTCATATGCAGGTGCAGCAAATCTCAAATGTGATTTAATGTTTGAGATTCGCTGCTGCAGATTCCTTATATGGACACGAAGACGTGCATCATCTACGATAAATTATGTGCAGGTGCATGTACTTGTTGTCTACGTCACTATGAATCAACGATTGCTGCAAACAATGAGCCAAGTCTTATGTACTTATGTTTACGAAAACGCCCGATCCACGACACGATCAATTGCCACAGGTGCGGATGTCAAAGGTTATAACAATTCTTATATGTACATAAACACCTGTGTCGTCTAAGAAATGATGAGTTATGTTCAGGTGTAGCTAATCTTAAATATTAAACCATATATGGACACGAAAACTAATTCAGTGAAGATCCTCTAATACACTACTAGTTCTTAGTCTGTAATTATTTATATTACTGCACGTTTTTAAGATTTTTTTTTTTGCGTCCTACGCTAACTTCAATGACCCCACATTAATACAACTTCTCCAAGATTTTAAAAAACACTCACCCTCATTGATGTAAAACATTCTTCCTACGCTTTTTCGTGCAGTGAAGTGATTTGTTTAAGTTACTAATATTTATTTGTGTTCTTCTATTTCTGTTTATTTGCTTATTATTATTGTTGATGTTTTTTTTTATTGTAAAACCTAATAACAGAAGGCTGAAGCCTATAACAGTCAACATTTAATATCATACCCTATGTCATTGTAGTACAAATATGTAAATAAAAATTTTAAAATTGAAAAGATTATTTTTTCATTTCAAAACTATAATTTATTTTCTAATATATTCTTAGAAATATTGTTTAAGTAGTTTGTGGACAATTATTTTGTTTTTGCTGGTCTTTCTTGAAGTATTTATTAAATAATTGTGATTTTCTCAATACATATTATAAAAGTTTTTTTTAAATTATTATTTACAAAGCAATCTATCTACAATAAAAAGAAAAACAGGTAACATGCTCTAGTTCTGGTCGTAATAGTGAGAAAAATTAAAAATATATATTGGAGATTGATCCAGCGACCAAACTCCACAGAGTGCTTATAAAACAAAAATTCACTAACGCATACACACAAACAAGTCTTATTGTCAATTTAGGCACCTTAACTAACTTTAAAAGCTTATTAGGGAGTTCCGTTATCTCATCCTTCACAAATCGGACTCCAGTATATTGATGTATGTACTCGTTAGTCGACAACTAGGGAGCATTGGTAATTGCTCTGAGCGTTTTTGATTGGAACCGCTGAATGATGTCAATACTTGTATTACAAGCAGATTCCCATAGTTGTAATCCACAAGTCCATATCGGTTTTATTATCGTTTTATATATTAAAACTTTGTTTTACCCTGAGATGGTATCTACCCATCAGCGAATGCAATCATTTTACTGTCAGTCCCAGCTGTTTTTTTTTGTCGTAATATGCTTTTTCCAGGTAAGTCGACGATCCAGATGCATGCAAAGATACTTAGCATCATCAGTAGTAGGACACTATCATTCAGTGTATCGGGTGGACAAGTTTGTCCACGCATTATGTACGTTACATGCACCAACTTAATTCATTAGCCCTAATTCTCCACTTTCTGAACCTATGTTCGATGCTATTCAGACTTCTTTAGAGTATCTGTGAGGCCATAGTTCAGTTTTGGTGGGATGCTAGAGCAACAGTGTCATCAGCAAATGTGGCAAAGTTAGTAGATCAGTCGTGAAGATCAAAATAGAGTAAGGGTCCAGAAACACTTCCCTGT